GGAAATGGAGACAGGAGAACTTCCAGATGAATGCAAGATCAAAGGCAAAGACTGAACCCTTAGGTTGTTCGGTTGTTCTCTGACTTCTGTATGTGTGACATACACACCCACATTCACATAAAACGACATGCTCATACACACACAGTTTGGGAGGCTCACGCAAAGATTTAAAAGAAAAAAGTCCGACATAAGAGGCTTAGGGTTAGTATTATGATTAGAGACTGAGCAAAACCATCCAGACAGATAAATAAGGACCACTAGGTGTTAAGAGGCTGGGAGAATGGAGAGTGAGCACTTACTGAGTAAGTACTGAGTTTCCTTTCAAGGTGATGAAAACATTTTGGAATTAGATACTAGCTTCAAATACAGTAAAGTTACTTAGTGACAAAGGTGTATGTATACTTTAGCCAGGTGGTGGCGCATGGCTTTAATCTCAGCACTTGGGAGGCAGAGGAAAGCTGATGTGAGTTTCAGTACAGCCTGGTCTACAGAGCTAGTTCCAGGACAGGACAGGTAAGGCACAGAGAAACCCTGTCTTGAAAAACCAAAGAAATAAAAAAGTATACTTTAAAAACGGTTTAAAGCCAGGCCTGAAATCTCAGCAACCTGGGTGAGGTAGGATTATAAATTCAAGGTCTGCCCAGGCTACAAAGTGAGTTCAAGGACACCCTGGGCAACTTACTGAGACCCTCTCTCAAAAAGCTAAGAGGGGGCTGGAGAGATGGCTCAGTGGTTAAGAGCACTGTCTGCTCTTCCAGAGGTCCTGAGTTCAATTCCCAGCAACCACATGGTGGCTCCAAACCATCTGCAAAGAGATCTGGCGCCCTCCTCTGGTGTGTGGGTATAAATGGAGGCAGAAAGTTGTATACATAATAAATAAATCTTTAAAAAAAAAAAAAAAGCTAAGAGGGCTGAGAATGTTGATCAGTAGCAGAATGCTTTCTGGGTATGCACAGGGCTGATAGTTCAGTCCTAAGTACCACAAAAAATAAAAGGTAAATTTGTTACTGAGTTTTAATCATAATTTAAAAGTATTCATGCTAAAAGATGGCAAAGATATGTTTCATTTCTACTAAGACTTTAAAGGAGCCTGAGTGGGGATATAGTTTCCTGAGAGAGTGTTAAAGTAGCAGGCAGGAGACCCTGGGTTCAATTCCAAGCAGTTTCTTTTAAAAGGTAAGGGAGAAGGGCAATAAGAAAGGAAAGATGTATATGGAAGGAAGGGAAAAAATGGAAAAAGAAAAACTTTCAGAAGAAATACATATTCATGAAATAAAAGGCATTAAAGGCTCATTTCTACAATAAGACACTCTCAACAACATTTTTTTTCTTTTTTCTTTTTCTTTTTTTTTCCAAGACAGGGTTTCTCTGTAGCTTTTTGGTTCCTGTCCTGGAACTAGCTCTTGTAGACCAAGCTGGCCTCGAACTCACACTCACAGAGATCTGCCTGCCTCTGCCTCCCGAGTGCTGGGATTAAAGGCATGCGCCACCACCGCCTGGCTTTCAACAACATTTTTCAAACCAAACATCTCATTAGATATTTATAGAACAACTATAAATACAGTACTTATATATGAAACCCAAAAATAAAAATTAGATAAAAATGGCATCAATACTAATTTCTTAATAAATCCATTTATATATGTCCTTTACAGTGATCAAAAATAGTCATTGCCTAACAATATCACAAATTTTATATCTCAAATAAAAATGAGTAAGACACGCTCCTGTGAAAGAATCTTGGTTTTTAGCCAGGAGACCTAAGTATATCTACAAATAGAATTGGATACTTAAGACCAAAATAAGAGACAGAAGGGGTTTCTTTTTTCTTGCTCACAATTCATCCCTCACGAAGAAACATCTACACAGAAATTTAAGCTCTCTACTAATTATTTTTGTTTGGTTTTTCAAGATAGAGTCTCACTAAGTAGTCTTGGCCTTCCTGGAACTCAATGTGTAGTCCAGGCTGACCTCAAACTCACAGAAATCCACCTGCCTCTGCCTCTCAAGTGCTGGGATTAAAGGTGTGCACCACCACGTCCATCCTCACTAATTAGTTGTAAATTCAGGTACCTAACTAGAAATTTGTTACTACTATAACATTTCTTATTTTCTATATTTCTATTATATTTCTTTGCAGTCTTTGGCCTTATTAATTACTGACTAATAATGGACAATTTAGTGAAAACAGAAACTCTTCTGCTTTATAAAGAAAAACTTAACAAACATCCAATGCCTGAAACACTAAGAAATAATTATGGCAATGAATGTAGACTCGTGATAGAAGCATTAACATTGGTCCAAAGTCAGAAGTGCAGGGTCCACTACTTACTAAATCAAGCATTTTGCTTTGTTGTTTTTGTTAGTTTGTTTACAGTGTTGATTTTGATATGTGGTCTCACTAAATAACTCTTAGGTGTAGATTAGGCTGTACTAGAACTCACAAACATCCGCCTGCCTCTGTCTCTTAAATGCTGTCTCTTAAAGGTACTGTAGCAGCAGCACACCAGACTTATCTATGACCTTTCTACTCTCTTTCAAATATGAGGAAAATACAGAAAGATAGTGTGAAAGAATGTGTAAAGTATGTAGACAATCTAAAGAGGGGCACAGTGGAGCAGGCAGCAAAGGGAAGAAAGGAGGAGCAGAAAGGACTTTAGGGAACTAAGTCTAGTTCTTCTCTTCAGCCTCAAACCCAGCATCTGATTCCAGCCTTATCTCATCCCACTCTTCAAATACACTATGTTTATATGCCCTTCCACTCCAGGAATATCTAGTTAAAAACTAGGAGACCACCTTCCCTGGAAGAGGTGCCCATTTATAAGCCCCCACTGTACCTTTATATTTCTACTACATTTAATGTGCGTTTGATATATAAATATATATATATGCGGGTATGTACGCATATATACTATAAGTAGTCAAAAAATTATACTTGTTCCAATTTCAAAACAGACAGAATGCAAAATATGTTCTTAAATTTACATTTCCAAGAACTCAATATATATCAGCAAAACTTGTAAAAATCATCATAAAAAGTTAAAAATTCATAATCATTAATTCTGACCCAGAACAGAATGAAAACACCACAAGACCTTATCAGATGCTAAGTACCAAATTCAGAGAGTAAAATGTCCAAGTAATCTACTGTAATTTAAAGTTACACCAGCTGTAGATGCAGCTCAGAGGTAGAGGGATGCCTAGCATAGCCAAGGCCCTGGGGCGACTCCTCATCAAAGAAACAGAAACACCAAAAGCAAGTGCCAGTTTTCAAATAAAATAAATTCAAGAATAACCAAAAACATCAGATATCACTATTAAACACTCAAAATCGGATTTTGTGCATTTGGACTAAAATTTAATACAAAGTATTTCTCCCTCAGGCTGACCAGTTTAAATTTAAATTCAACAATCCAAAAAGTTGTAGGCTGTCTAAAAACACCTTGCCTTCTGTGTCATACACTAAGATCTCTTGAAAAGTTCTCTTTATATTAAAACTTACAAGGCAGAGGCAGGCAGTTTTCTCTGAGTTCCGGGGCCTCCCTAGTTTACAAAGCAAGTTCCAGGTCAATCAAGCCTGCATAGTAAGACCTTGTCTCAAAAAACAACAGAACAAAACAAAATAGGATTCATGAAAAATGGGTAACAAAGCCTCCAAATATTAGATGCAATCACTATTACACAGATTTTTGCCAACTCAAGACTATTAGCTGATTCATACAACTGTCTCAACAGTAACCCTTAAGGAATCACACCTGAAGGCTGAGGCAGGAGGACGAAAGGGAATTCAAGACCAACCTTGGCTACAGGATGAGACCCAGACTGAGAGAGAGAGACAGAAAGATGGGAAGGGAGGGAGGGAGGGAGAGAGGGAGGGAGGGAAGGAGAGACGTGGAGGAGAAGGAGGGCGAGAGGGAGGGAGAGGAGCAAGACACAAAACTCGTACCTCTTTTGAAGCTTAGTCTTGTTTTAACATTGTATCAACTGGCAAGAGAGAGAGAGACATACACTCTGGGGGTTTCCACCCACATCCCACAATATAAATGTTTCACAGCTCTTAACTAAACAAAACCTCTTTCAGTACAGGGAAAGCACCTCATGACTTTTCTCCTAACCCTATCATCCCCTCTCCTCCTGAGCAAGTCAGTCACAGAACACAAACCACACCTCTCAATTCCCTTACAGCTAACACAATTTACACAATCAGCCTCCTATATCCCTCACCTATATTTCAGTTCTGTCGACCCCTCTACATCAAATGAACCTCTAAATTAAGCCTCCTCTTCCCCCAACTCCATTTCCATCAATATAACACACCCAAACCTTGTTGAACATCCCACACCCAAAGCGATTCTTTTAGTAGCCCAATCTCACTTAAATGATCTCTCAGTCCCTTTGTCAACCGTCTCCCGGATCCTCACCTTCCCCGTCTCTTAGTCTTCCATCAACTGCCAAAGTTGCCACCCTCCCCAACAGAAACAGAAAAGAAAAAGAAAAAAAAACGCACCTTAACCTCAAATCTGTCCTTCCCCACTTTCCTCCCCTCTTAATTTTCCTCTCCGTACTGGGTCACTTCGACTCAAGCTCGTACAGCCCCAAAACCCGAGTCTGGCCTCGTCCAGTACCTTTGGGTGACCGCACGCACGCACGCACCCTGCCTTGGCCAAGCAGCTCCCCTTCAGCACACATGCACACACACACACACACACACAAGCACACACACGCACGCACGCACACACACTGGGGCGCTTACTCTGAACAGAATGTTGGCTGCCGCTGCCTCCTTCCATTCATCCTGGGCCCATTCATCTCTCAGCCCGATCCCGGACACGCCCCCCGGCCTCCTCCCTCTCAGGGTCCCGGGCTGGCCGGGACCCTCACCTAACTGGAGACGCTGACCGACGGAGAGCGACTCTCTTCACTTCTCCCTCGCTGTCTCTCAAGCCTCCGCCAGCCCCCCGACCGGCTACACCGTAGACTAGACACACACACATATATACCTCCTCCTCTAACGCCTCCTCCGACGCCGCTCACTCCCCTCCTCGGTGTCTCGAGAGCTCGTCGCCTAGTCCTGTGCGCGTGCGTGCGTCTCCCCTCGAGCCCACCGAGCCGGCGGCCGCGGCGAGGGAAAGAGCGGGCGGGGTTAGGGGAAGCAGGGTGCGAGCCCAAGCTCGCGCTCGCCCCGCAGCTGACCGGGCGCACGCGTACTGAAGCCAGAGAATTCGGCTGGACCCGAGAGGGGCGGGGAAGGGAAGGGGGGAGGGGAGGAGGGAGGGAGGGCGAGGGGGAGGGGCGGAGAAAGCCAACTGAGCTGCCCCGACTCCGAACTGCCCCTGGCACAGCGAGGCGTCCAGAGGCTGGCCGGCTGGCGCATGCGCACGCCCTCCCTCCACACTCAGCGCTGCAAGGTGGATGCTGCGTCGAGGAGAGAGCTTTCTCCCTCGGGCGAAGAGAAGAAGCTCGCCGAGGAGCCACGCAAGACACCTCCTGCGTGTTCTAAAGCACTCATCCTCACCGCCACTTTCCCCCTAAAAACAAAAAAATTTAAAAAGAGGTCCACACACCACTTCCTAGCACCCGCAGGCCATTTTCAGCTCTTTGAAAACCTTAAAAATGAAGCTGCTCTATAGATAAGTGGTACCCACCGGTACCTTTTCACCCGCCGCCCCTTACTCACTTTTTCCAGGTCTCAGTTTATCTCGCGAGACCCATAGCTGCCGGCTTCGGGATTGGAAGTCGAAGCACAGATTTACAAATACCTGTCTCCTGGCTATGAAGCAAGGGCAGGGGCCATGGCATATACCACCGCGGCCCCCCCACCCCCAGGACCTTAGTGCGCGCGGGGGAGGGGGGACAACAACCAAAGCAGGGATAGGAAAAAGGAGCTAACCGATTTTTGACGGCGGCGGGTAACTGCTAGGCCTAGGCACGTGGCCTGTGCCTCACAGGCGGGACCGGTGTACCCTGGGAATTGTAGTTTTGTTCCCACCTCGAGTCCCACTCCCATCCTTAGCCAAACGTAGGCCTCAGGCAGGGAGAGGGTTTGCTGACGCCATTTTGTGGGGAACAATGGCCAATGGCCCCGTGATGACGAGTGGGGGAGGGAGCAATGGTTTAAAGGTTCAGTTAACCTCCTCTGGCCCCTCCGTCTCATAGCAACCCCTTCTGAAGCCTGGCCCCGCCCCCTGCTACTCTGAGGAGCTTGGACTGCCAGCAAGGGAAAAAGCTACTTTTTTCCCCAGAGGCTGACTCAGTCTCCCATTATCCACCTCCCTGAAAAACTCCCAGTTCCTCGAATTTGTGAGTCTTCTTGAAGCTTTCATGGCATGGTAGCCTGAGCTCAGTGGCTTTAAGAAGTGCTCCACAGACTGAATGAGGCACAGTGAGGAACTGTTTCTGTAATGCATAACAAGCCTGCCCTGACAAAGGAGGAAACTGAGGTTCAAGGAGGAGACAACAGAAATGACTCGCTGAAGGGTAGCCAAACAAACACCAAGCAATAGTTTCAAAGATTACCAAGTTATTTCAAGTCTTAATCTGTCCTTACTCTCATGAGACAGTAACTAGAAACTGTGGCCACCTTTTTACTTCTCTGTGTTGACTAGTCAGTCCTAAGACTGCCACACAGGTACCTTCAAAAACCAGGCTCACTCGGGGGCCCTGCCTTTCTCTGTTCCCTGAGCGTGATGATACAATCAACACAGAGCAATGCTTAGGAATGCTAACCGTTCAACCTGCTCTGATGCAAACTCTTCCAGGTAGTCTATCTTTGACTCCTTGCTCAGCAATTACTAAGCACTGTGACACACAAACACATACAGCTTTAGGAATTTAAAAATCAGATGACGTTGTTCCCATCCAACTACAGATTCCTTTCAATGTAGAAATACTTTTTTTAAAGTTTTTAAATATTTTCATTCAATCATTCAATACTCTTTTTTTTTTTTTCCGAGACAGGGTTTTTCTGTAGCTTTGGAGCCTGTTCTGAAACTAGCTCTTGTAGACCAGGCTAGCCTTGAACTCACAGAGATCCACCTGCCTCGGCTTCCTGAGTGCTGGGATTAAAGGCCTGTGCCATCACAGCCTGGTTTATTCAATGCTTTTTTTTTTTTACAAGTAACTCTGAAGAATTTTTATACGCATATGAATTTTTACATGCATGTATGTATGTGCACCACATGTGTGCCTGATGCCCACAGAAGTCAGAAGAGGATATTGGATTGCCTGAAACAGGAGTTAAAAATAGTTGTAAGCTGCCATGTGGGTACTGGGAATGAAACCCAGGTCCTCTGCAAGAGCAGCAAGTGCTCTTAACTGCTGAGCCTTCTCTCCAGCCCGTTGCAGACCTACTATTGGTATATGTAAGTCCAGCACTAAGCACAAATGTCATTGCAGGCAGAAATGACAGTAAGTAGTTACAGCTGGTCACCAACATGTTGGAAAACATTCCCTTTCTGCCCACTGGTTTCCACTATCAAGTGGTAACTGTGATATTCCCATTCAGCTAACATAAAATTTGAATAATTATTAATCACTTCTAATTTGACTTTATATTATCCCATAAAAACATCCAATAACCCAGTTATTTTTGGAAGCATTACTGCCAAGAAACCACAAAAATTTTCACTTGAACTATTTTTGGTGTTCCTCCACGACCAGGAGAATGTTTGAAACAAGGTCGTGTGTGTGTGTGTGTGTGTGTGTGTGTGTGTGTGTGTGTACTCAGGCTGACCTTGAGCTCACAACGTAGCCAAGAATGACCTTGAATTACTGAACACTAAGGCTGGGAGCGCCAAGACGCCACCACGTGCACCTGGGATCAGTTTTAGAGGTCAGCGTCCCAAGGCAAATTCCTATATTATTTGTTTGCCTGTCTTGCCACCTCCTCCCTTGAGATATCACAACACAGACTATGGGAGAGGTAGAGAAAAATATGGGGAAAAACTACTCATATCTCAAAATAGTGTTGAGCCACACATATTTTCTATTAAATGTTAGTATCCTGATAAAAGACATGAAATGCATTTCTTATCCAGTCACTCACTAGTTAAGACAGTAACTCTAAACCAGGCGGTGGTGGCGCACGCCTTTAATCCCAGCACTCGGGAGGCAGAGAAAGGCGGCTCTCTGTGAATTCGAGGCCGGCCTGGTCTACGGAGAGCTAGTTCCAGGCAGGTTCCAAAGCAGCAGAGAAACCCTTTCTTAAAAAAAAAAAAAGGAGGAAGAGGAGGAGGAAGGAGGAGGAGGAGGAAAGAAAATTATAAAAATGAATAAACCCACAGTGCTTTTCTGTAACTGTGAAGTGTCACGAGCCTAAACGCCTCTGAGAAATATTTATGGAGCAGAGATCCTGAGCCGGAAATACAGTTTCTAAAACAACTAACCATTCCTTTCAAAAGATCAGGCCCTGGCGCCCATTCCCATCCACTGCACCACACAAGCGAGGCATTCCTGGGAAAAATATTTTGCGCTGCAGATTTAAATCATTGTCTACTCACTCAGGTGTATAATAACAACAGTTAGCAATTAAATAGCATTAAATATGAATCCACTGAATAGAAGCATCAGTCTAAACACCATTTTTTTAAATTTGTAAACCAAGACATAAAGAGGTTTACAAGGTTACACAATAACTCAGCAAATAAGTAGGAGAACTAAAATTTGAACCCAGCTACTTTAGTCCATGCTTTAAGCATTTTTGTTGCTTTTGAGGGGAGTGCTAGGTGAGACAGAGTTTCATGTAGCCCAGGCTGGTTCTTTTTTTGTTTTTCGAGACAGGGTTTCTCTGTGTTGCTTTGGAGCCTATCCTGGAACTAGCTCTTGTAGACCAGGCTGGCCTCGAACTCACAGAGATCCACCTGCCTCTGCCTCCCAAGAGCTGGGATTAAAGGCATGTGCCACCAGCACTGGGCTCAGGCTAGTCCTTGAAGTCACGACACAGTTGAAAATAACTTTGAACTCCTAACCTCCCTGATTCCTACCTCCTAAGTGTTGTTGTCGTAGACCTGGCTATCGTTCCCAAGTCTCTAAAAAGCTTCCCCATTCCTTGGAGCAAGAAAATAACTCTTAATTCCTCTTTTTTTTTTTCTCAGCATGCTACAAAAGAAGCTTAATTCCTCTTGATGTTCCTCTAACCCAGGTTCTAACCACATTATTGAGCTACTATATACTGCTGATACCTAGGAGCAAAGGTATTAATTTCTTGGTATCAAACTGTACATATTGGCACTCAGCAATCCATTACCCATTCCCACATTGTTCCTTTATGCTGTCAGACCCTGTGTTACATTAGTACTTGCCACTGATGTGGGAACGTCTTTTACAGATTGCCTACAAGAGCTTCTGTTCTCCCAGGTTTTGCTTTCTACCCTGAGATGCTTCCAGAAAGCCAGATACAAACCCCTTCTACATAGCACCCAAGAATATTCCAACAAACATTGTATTATCTATAGTCTTAAAGGGTAGGAAGGGTCAAAATATTCTGTGTATATAGCCAAAGTAAATATAATCACTATATGTTTATTTTGGCACTATTCACAACAGCCAAGATATGGGATCAATCTGTATTTATCAATGGATGAGTATTTGTGTTACCCAGTTTTTAATGTCAGCTTGACACAAGCGAGGGGCAACTGGGAAGAAGGAAGTTCAATTGAGAAAATACCTCCATCAAATTAACCTGTAGGGAAGCCCGTGAAACATTTTCTTGATTGATGATTGACGTGGGAGGGCCCAGCTAATTGTGGGTCAAGACATTTCTGGATTGTCCTAGGCTGCATAAGAAAGCAGGCTGAGCAAGCCACGGGGAGCAAGCCAGTAAGTAGTGCCCCTCCATGACCTCTACTTAGTTCCTGCCTCCAGGTTCCTTTCTTGGGTTCTCGCCCTGACTTCTCTCAGGAATGGAAAGTGACTTAAGAATTGTAAAAAGATGCCGGGCAGTGTTGGCACACACCTTTAATCCCAGCACTCAGGAGGCATAGGAAGGTAGATCTCTGTGAGTTTGAGTCCAGCCTGGCCTACAGAGCTAGTTCCAGGACAGCCAGGACTGTTACACAGAGAAACCCTGTCTCAAAAAAAAAAAAAATTGGAAAAAGAAAACCGGCTCCACAGCTAGGCAGTGGTGGCACACACCTTTAATCCTCTCCCTGGAAGCAGAGGTATCCCTGTCAGTTCGAGGCCAGCCTGTTCTACAGGGTAAGTTTCAGGATAGCCAGGGCTACATAGAGAAACT